TATATATATATATATATATATATGTGTGTGTGTGTGTGTGTGTGTGTGTGTGTGTGTGTGTATGTTGTGTGTGTGTGTGGTGTGTGTGTGTATGTGTGTGTGTGTATTTATGTATGTATGCATGTATATACATATATATGTACACACACACACACATATGTACACACACACACACACACACACACACACAACACACACACACACACACACACACACACACACACACACACACACACACACACATATTATATATATATATATATATATATATATATATATATATATATATATATTTTTTATTACAGTCATTCTTATTCTTATCATTACTATCTTCATCATAATAGTTCCGTTACTATCATCATTGTTATCACTGATGCAGTTATTGTTATCATTATTAAGAAAATATTTTTTTTAATTGGATATTCAATTTAAATGTGACAAGCAAATTAGAACAAATATAAAAAACAAGATTATAACTACAATCACCATGATACCTTAGGACGAAAATGTTTATTTCAACATTTCTCTCAAGAATTACATCAAATTTTATATTATATCAAATTATTAAATATTATATAAAGAATTATATCAAATATTAAATATTATATCAAATTATTAAATATTATATAAAGAATTATATCAAATATTAAATATTATATCAAATTATTAAATATTATATAAAGAATTATATCAAATATTATATATTATATCAAATATTAAATATTATATCAAATTATTAAATATTATATAAAGAATTATATCAAATATTAAATATTATATCAGCTTCGTCAGGTCTGAATCCTAATTGCATATTCACCCAACCTTTCGAGTGATATTTGAAAAAAAATATGATTATTAACATATGGTCCGTGAAGACTTAAACTATTTGGTGATGTAATTTCATACATTTCTAGACAGATTTACAAATTCAGTTTATTTAAATTTTTGATTGTGTTGTTTGATTGTCGAGGTTTGGTTCGTAATAAACTTTGATTCATAATAATTTCATTTTGATAATGTTAGATGAACAATCCAATTATAAATGAAAAAATCGAAGTCAAAATAATATTATTCGGAAAGATATCCGCAAACAATAGTTATTCAAAGTAAAAAAAAATATATATATAATAATGGCGATAACAAACAAAATATAGGAATAAACGAAAAATAACACGACTGTCCTAATTTTTTTTTTTTTTTTTTTTTTTTTTTTTTTTTTTAGCAAGTACTGAACACAGCTGTATATCCACATACTCTTTGCGATGTACAAATTACATACTTTTAGTTCACTTAATATACCTTGGTTTATAGAAAAGTATTTTTACTTATTTACCGAAAAACTATAAAAATGATAATAGCAGTAATGGTGATAACGATAACATCAATAATAATAGTGATAAAGATGGTGATAGCAGAGATAATGATAATGATAATAGTAATGATAATAATGATAATCATGATTGTCATGATAGTAACAGAAACTGTAACAGTTCTTATGCCAATCATATTGATAATTATTGTAATAATATTAACAATATAAGTAATAATAGTAATAATAATAACAATAATAATATTGATAATAATAAAGTTGATAATAGTGAAAACAATATTAATTATATGATAATAAAGATAAGAGTGATGATATAAGTCCATGATGATAAATAATGATGAAAAAATAAAATGAAATATATAATGATAAAAATAATGATAATAATAAATATAATATAATATAAAATAATGATAATAATATGATAATGATAATGATAATGATAATGATAATGATAATGATAATGATAATGATAATGATAATAAAAATAATAAATAATAATAATATATAATGATAATAATATAACAATGTAATAATAATAATAATAATGATAATAATAATAATAATAATAATAATAATAATAATAATAATAATAATAATAATAATAATAATAATAATATAATAATATAATAATAACAATAATAATAATGGTAATAATAGTAATGATAACAATGATAATAATAAAATCATCTGATGATAATAACACACTAACAAGATAATACTAACAGTTATCAGGATAATGATATTAATGAAGATAACTGATCATCATAGTAATGGCAATGGGTATGATGATGCAATGGGATAATAAATGATAACAATAACAATGATAATGATGATGATAATAACAATGATAATGATAATAATAATAATGATAACAATAACGGTATTAATAATGATGATAATGATAATAATAATAACAATGATGATGATGATAACAATAACAATGGTGATGCTAATGATGGTAATAATAAGAAAATTGATTAATGATCATGATAATAAGATGATAATGATAATGAACATAAAGGTGATAATGATAATGAAGATAAAAGTGGTTATAATGGTAATGATAATGATCAATAAGGATAATAATAATGATAATGATAATGATCAGTCAGGATAATGACGATAAAAATTATAATAATAATGATAATAAAGATAATAATGATAACAATAATGTTAATAACGATAATAATAATAGCAATAATACTAATTAAATCATTACACTAACAAAAATCGTAACAATAATTGTAACAACAGCTTTAATATCAACATAAAAAGTGATAAAGATGAAAATAAAATAAAAAATAAGATAAAAATAAATATAGATATAAAGATAAAGATAAAATAAAGATAAAGATAAAGATAAAAATAAAATAAAGAAAAAGATGATGATAAAAATAAAATAAAAATAAATATAAAGATAAAGATAAAAATAAAATAAAGATAAAGATAAAAATAATATAAAGATAAAGATAAAAATAAAATAAAATAAAATAAAGATAAAAGATAAAATAAAATGAAATAAAGATAAAGATAAAAATAAAATACAGATAAAGATAAAGATAAAAAATAGAAATAATATAAAGATAAAAAAAGTAATTTGTTTATGCATGTAAACCTTTGATAGAAGTGCATGTGCATTGACTTCAAGTGTCGAGCAGCTGGATATGATATTTTTGTTATTTTAATGTCGTTATTGGAGTGTTAATTGATATTCAATTTGTGAAGCGGGAGACACCCCTTCCCCCCCCTTCCTCCCCCCTTCCTTCTCTTCCCCCCCCTTCACATCCCTCCTTTCTTTTTTTTTTTTCCTTTCTCTTTGCTTACTTGTTTATGTCTCATTTTCTTTTTCTTTGTTTATTTCTCTTCTCTGTCTCTCACTCTCTTTCTTTCTTTCTTTCTATTTCTCTCTCTCTGTCTGTCTGTCTGTCTCTCTCTCTCTCTCGTTCGCTATCTAGTTTCTCTTCTCTCTCTTCGCTCTCTCTCTCCTCTCTCTCTCTCTCTCTCTCTCTCTCTCTCTCTCTCTCTCTTCTCTCTCTTCTCTCTCTCTCTCTCTCTCTCTCTTCTCTCTCCTCCCCTCCCCCTCCCACCCCTCCTCACCTCCCTCCCTCCCTCTCCTCTCCCTCCTCCCTCCCCTCCCCTCCCCACCTCTCCCCTCCTACCCCCTCTCTCCCACTCCTCTCCCCCCCTCCCTCCCTCCCCACCCCTCCCCTCCCTCCCTCCCTCCCTCCCCTCCCTCTCCCACCCTCCCTCTCTCCACCCACCCTTTCCCCTTCCCCTCCTCCCCCTCCCTCCCTCCTTCCCTCCTCCCCTCTCCCCCCTCCCCCCCCCCCTCTCGTCTCCATCCCCGTATGAATGCAAAAGTCTCTTAAACGACCCAACAACCGACAGCCGATGACTTAGTTGGCCCATTTTGTGACCCGAGGCGAAAGGGTTAATTAAATCGCCGTCAGCTGAGATATATATGTGAGCAACACGTGTTCCGAAAAGTTTATTTGTGTCATTGGAAAAAAGGGGGGGGGATTTTTTTTTTCTTTTTTTTTGTTGTGATTATTATTATTATTATTTTTTTAATAATTGGTATTCGTTGTTTTTCTTTTCTTTTCTTTCTTTAAAAAGGGGATTTTTTTTTGTTCTTGCTGTGATTATTTCGTTTTTTTCTTAATTGATATTGTTTTTGTTTCTTTTCTTTCTTAAAAAAGGGGATTTTTTTGTTATTGCTGTGATTATTCAGTTTTTTTTTATTTTATTATTAATTGATATTGTGTTTTTGCTTTTTTGTTTTCTTTTTTATATGCAGTGAGATGTATAATAAAAATCATATTTGTATTGTTATTATTTTTTTTAACTATCTGATTTATCTCCTTTTTCTCTGTTTTCTCTCTTCTATTTCTTATTCTTTGAATCTTTCTACGTCTACTGTATCTTTTCTTTATTTTCTATCTTCTCTCTCTTCTTCTCTACCGGTTTCAGTACCTCTAAGAAACAATTCTCTCTCCAAAAAAAAAGGGGAAAAATATTATTTTAAACCAACATTTCCACATTTATTGTTTATCCTTAACCCTCACTTCGTATTTGGGTCAAAGGTTTATTTATGTACTTGTTCATCTTCATTAATGCTCTCTGGTTTGATGATAATGATAGGATTAGTGATTAAAATCTTAAAATAAAAAAAAGAAGGAAAAGAAGAAGAAAAAAGTAAGAACTACTGCCTGAAACAGTGCTCGGAAATGCCTATTTTTTCTCTATCTCTCTCTTTCTCTCTCATATAGATATCTTCTCTCTCTCTATCTTCTCTGTCTATCTGTCTATCTGTCTCCCTCTCCTCTCCCTCTCTCTCCCTCTCTCTCTCTCTCTCTCTCTCTCTCTCTCTCTCTTCTCTCTCATCTCTCTCTCTCTCTCTCTCTCTCTCTCTCTCTCTCTCTCTCTCTCTCTCTCTCCCTCTCCTCTCTCTTCCCTTTCCTTCTCTCTCCTCTCCCCCCCCCCTCTCTCTCTCTTTCCTTCTCTCTCTCCCTTTCCCCCATCCTCTCTCTCTCCCTCCTCCCCCCCCCCCCCTCTCTCTCTCTCTCCTAAAGAACACGTGCCTCTTAAAAATTAGCTTCGGAAATACTTTATATTCATAAGAATTGTGTTCCTCGCTTGTCGCAGATTGACGACCGCTGCGCAGAGTGAG